ACTCTGTTTGTAATCAGGTAACTTATAATTTCCCCGAGCATTGGACTTCACACTGTGACACAAATGCAATCAGCTCTTGGGTTTCGGAGGGAAATTGTACTGCGGAACATACGAGTATAATTCAGGTGCTTGAAATAACGACGCCAGCGAAGCTCAGTCGTTGCTTGCTTCGTAGGAAAGTCTGAGAGTTGGTAGTTAGGTTCATGTTTAGATAACGCACTGCGTAGCCAGAGGAGCCGAGAAAGTGTAGTTGTCGTTGGTGTAGAGACTGGCTACGGGATGCTCTACCGCGGGGTCGGAGTTCAAGTCCCGGTAGGGCCAAGAATTTTCTCTTCTCCACGTCGTCCAGACAGGATCTGAGGTCCACACAACCTCCTAGCCAATGGATACCGGAGGCTCTTCCCCCGGGGGATAAAGCGACCTGAGCGTGAAGGTGATCACTCACCTCCAGCTAGTGCAGAGATCAAGAAAATATGTATTTATATATCCACTCCCCCATACGTCTTCATGGCGTAGTGCTTAATTAGTTAAGCACAGGGACAACTTTACTTTACTGGGTAGCTAGACAGAGAAGGCAACAAAAAAGGTAATATTATTCAGTGATGTGCTGTCAGTTAGAGAGGTTGTTAACGTGAACCGCTGCTACTCCCGTCTTCACCCTACCACCTACGTCCATCGTGAAGTCGGGAGCGGTTCATCGTCACAGGCTCTCGCGTCTTATTCACAATACTCCCTAAGGTCGTCGCAGGGAATCCAAGCTCGCAGCGGAGGGCCCATCAGAAATTATAATGATCGACCATATAACAATAACAGGTTTTAATGAGAACAAAACACAATATAACGCACTACAAGAATATACAAAAAATAGAGCACTGCGGGCATACAGTGTCGCTGACAACCCAACATACACGGCTGATTTCAGCCCTATACTTATCCGCACTTCGCAGCATCAAACTCAACCGACATGCCCAGTTCCACTGGCCCACCTACATTATGTACGGAAATCGTTACAGCACAACACGACTTCACTACTGCTCCTTGGTCAGCCACAGGCGGCCCCAAAGAAAATATATATACTAACTAAACAAACTTCACTACTGCTCCTTGGTCAGCCACAGGCGGCCCCAAAGAAAATAGGTATACTAACTAAACAAACTTCACTACTGCTCCTTGGGCAGCCACAGGCGACCCCAAAGAAAATAGGTATACTAACCTAAACAACTCCGCGTATGGCCGCCATACCTTTCCCTTGATGGCTGGCGACCGCAAATAACCCCGACGTCTGCGGCCAGCTCCCGACTACACCGAGACTAGATTTAGAAAAACCCCGCCGAACTGAAATTTAGAAATTCTTCCCGCTGTTCCGCCAACGTCCTAGCCCGAGTGGATCCACTGTCAGACTCCTCCACTGCTCCCAAAACAAACGGAAGGGAGCCGTTGCTTCAGCACGGCTCAAACATCGAGTGAGATTAGGGGCTGAGTATGTGCGTGTAGGAGAATTAGGAAGGAAGGGAAGAAGCAGTAGTAGTTATACTGTGTTATCTTCAGCTTGTGCTGTAGATGGTTATGCCGGCATTAGGACATTACTAATGTGTATATTAAACATAAGGGGTGAACCAAAATCTACGTGACCGAGCTCTCGTTGAATACAGAAGACTTTTCCTCCATATGGATGCCTACTTAAGATATGACGTACCACCAACTACAGCATGTATTAGGCAGACAATGTTTTTTTATTCGCTGAGTGGGGGGTGGATTCCAACTGGGTCTACTCGGCACGGCGGCCACTGATTGACCTATTGTACCAGACAGACAATAGCTTTAAGGTATCATACCGACGAACTAACTAACGAAATTGAACTAATGAACGCTCTAAGAATATAGCGTAACCACTCCAGATATAGGCCCACAGTCATCTTCTAGAATACAAGAGGACCGGAGTGCAATTCCCGGTAACGTAAGAATTGTTCTGTATTCTCATTTTCCATAAAACCGGCTCCGGGAACTACCTTGTCTCTTATTGATACCCGAGGTTCTATCCCGGGTATCTAGCAGTTTTAATGTGCTTATAGCAATCGCGACTTGAATTAAAGGGTGTACTTGTTTCGAATATCTGTCCGAACGCTAGTAATCTTGATCATCTTCACTGAGGTTTCTGTGGTTTTCCTGAATATCTCTATACTTAATAGCCGAAAACCGGTTCTATTTAGAGATGAGTATTTCGTCATATTGTCAAATGGAGGAAAAAAGAGAACAAATGAGAACTATTTTCTCGCCCTTTACATATATATGTGGTAAACAGGTGAAAATAAACATCTTGCAGGCTTATACGTTTACATCTTTAGTCTCCATCCGCAGAACCAAAATTAATTTACCAGCCTACACAAGTTGGTTTGCTATCCACATTTCTCTTCTTATGTATGTAAAGTTACCCCTGTAACAGGCCGTGGAGGCTATAGGATTGTGAGAGGTTGAGGCTCCCACATCTTCTAGACAATCGGCTCACAGATGGCAGTGAGGTCAGTCTTACGTTCAGGCCGTCCTTTACTGTCAGGAAGATTCCTGGTACTCATTTCTGTTAGAGATTGAGTCGACCACAGGGTCAGAGTGCGGCTGGAAGAATTAGGTAAATTGAAAAAATCCACCCCATTGGGATCTTGTGTATGATAGAACTAATCTTGACGGAATATCGTATTGTCGTTGACGCACTTCCTGCTGCCCGACGTCTTCGACGGACATGTGGTCATTATCACGCTATGATTTCAACACTAAAGATGTCTTTGTAATATGTGCTGCATTGGGATATTTACTGGCTGGCAGACCAGTTGAGTGTTAGCTGCCCAGTGAATGACTTGTTTGCATTATGGCGTACAAATGCTACAAAGATGCCTTGTACCTTTTAGGATATTTGCCTTGGATTTTATTCCTGTTTCTTTCACTCTCTGTTTGTCCTGATTATCCTCGAGTTTGCTTTTGTCTCCTTCGAGTTATATATCATATGTAACTTGCTTGGTGACTACAGCGAAATTGCTTGTTTTATCATTCATAGTGTCGTTTCTCTAAACATCGCGCCAAAATCGACTTCTGCGATAGTTTCAACGTTGCAGTATAATTATGGATAGTCGTCAGATTTGGTGTCGGAATCTCGATTAGGCTACATTGACGATGAGGGCTCTCTATCCTGAAGATAGAGGCATTTGGCGCATGTGTCTGGACGTCATTTCACATCCACCTTCTGGGAAATTCTCGCCGTGGTGTGGTTAAACCGGCTTTGGCTCTTGAGTTTCTTGTGGCTGCTCTGAAATATTCGGATGACATAGAGTTGCTTAGTGTTGTTCAGGGTTGAATAGATTAGTTCCGAGTTGCTAAGTTGAGAGACGGGTTAGATTGTCTTCTCCTGAGTAATGAAACCATGTAGTCTCGTAGTTGGTAAACAATTTCTCCGGAGAACCTGCTCACTTCGTCTTCAGGTAGAACTGAACATGACAACTTTAATTCCTGTAAAATGTGAAGTGACTAGGATTCGATCATAGGAACATCTGTGCACGAGTTTAGGGAGCACGGACCGGAAGCTAATCTGCATGTTGTTACTGAAGTATAAATTTGAATTTTCTAAATATATTAAGGGCATGCGGTATCGTAGTTGGTTGAGGAACTATGCTACAAGCTGGAAGGTCCGATTCCCGGTGAGGTCACTGGATGTTTCATTTGACACTAATCCTTCAGCTTCTAACAGCTTCCTGGGAGTAGAGAGCTGCCGGCGAGTAAGGCTGCCACACTCACCGACATCTGTGAGCCGACTGTCTAGAAAATGTGAGAGTCTGGACCTTTCACAACCCTGTGGCCCTCCACGGCCTGTTACAGAGACAGTGTTATCTCCTTTTTTAAATATATTAACAACACTCGAAGTAGGCTATATGAATTCTACCCGAAACTCCTAGTACACTTCGTTCAGCACACCAATCTAAAAGTCCGAATTTGGCAGTAGTCATCGCTGTAATAAGACACTCTAGCGCTGTGCATTCACATACTTTTTATTTTCGTTGCGTCAGTGAACTATTCTCGGTCACCCCAGGATTGATTTACAGCTTCATAGGTGGTCACCTCGTGCGTTATAACATACCATAGTGGCAAGCCTGCGACTTTCAGCGAGAGGAATGGTGGAATCACGTTAGACAATATTTGGTGTTATATAGCCATTGACCTATGATTGTACTGACACGTTAAAATTATGTGTTTGATTGTATGAACACAAAGGCAGATTAGGTGGGGTAGATTGTTGCACAGGCGCAGTAGACCGATTATCATAAAACTGGAATGTTAACAGTAAATTCTTTTATGTGCAAAACTCCTGTTGTGCTAATCAGCAAGTAGCAATTCCTGCATCAAAATTACACTTGAATTATGATGCATTCTCGTCAGACTATGACCTTGTTTCACAATTCACGCGTTTGCACTGTGATCGTACGATTCGCGGGAGTGTGTAGGCCTTCAGCTGTTTCCGGTTTGTCATAACACGAAGACAATGCACTTCATAAATTTCACGGATAGTTTTATTAAAATAGTGAACATTTATGTCAATCGCAGCAGTAAGTCCATCACAGAAGCATTATTCAGTTAATTTAAATTCAATTAAATTCCCGGCACATGCAGAACATAAGTTTAAACTGAAATATAAATTGAAAAATCGTGATTGTGTGATGCATTGAAGTGTCGTATATTTCCCGTAAAGTGACTTCCCATCATTCCTAGCGGTAAACAGCTGTGGTGCTGCCAATAATGGCTGTTTGTAAAATGGAAGGACGTCTGCTAAGAATATTTGGAAAAGGTACGTAAATGCCGTTATATAAATTTGTAATTTTGCTTTTACAGCTATAAGTGGATGCATGAAAATTGAAACATTTATATTTTTAGATCTAAATTATTATTTCGAAGATATGCAGGAAGTTACAGCGTTAGTCTTTGTTCATAAGTGTCTTGTTTTGTTTGGTCTTGTCAGGGCCAAACATCGCAGTAAGTGCCATAGGTATTATTTTTGCAGTATTGTTCAGGAGAAGTCGTCCTGTAAATTTTATATTAGTGGAAGTGAATTTGTAACGTCAATAGATTGTATGTTGGTTGTATTAAGTGTAATTCAATGTAACTGTCAATACCTGCTTCGTTTTCTTTGTTGCTTACGCAAGGTTGATTCATAACAAGAAATTTTGTTTACTTTTTGTACTTCGATCACTGAGTGGAACGTAGTGTGAAAAATGCAACATGTAAGCATAACCATAGAGAGGACATTTTCATTCCATTTTTATCTCAACCTTTTATGGCATTAGGAATAAATGGATTATAAATGAACGCAGTTTATAGAATGTACGAATTTCATTTACACTTTCTATTACGAAATGGTTGCGTGACTATTAACATCAGGACTGATCTGCTAATTTGATGCAATTTAGAAACTGAAAGTAATCATGGAAGAATAAAAGGCATTTTGTTGGATGTTATGGAAATAATAATACCTAACTTGATATTCTTGTGGAATTGCAATAATGATGAACTAGTGCATCTAACTTAAAGAATGAAGCCATTTTGAATTTGTGAGACCAGATACGTTCTTAGATCATATATTAATTATAATTATAATTTTATGCTTGGAAATTATTTCAGGCATTCATGGCAGTTTGATATTGATGCTGATCCTGTCTTGGTATGAAGGCACGCTGTCGAAGTAAGTTGTGTTGTTGATGCTTGTGAGATCCCTGCTTCTTCCATCTTCAGCACAAAGTGACTATCCCATAGTCCTTGCTAGTACTCATAATGCACATCCAGTGGGCCATGCGATGGGCGCTTTGACTTGAGGATAGACATACAGTAAGGATCTCAGAAATATCAGGTATACAGCCTACTTCAGCGTGGAACCTTCACCAAGAAACAGTTGGTATAGAATGTGCTTCTTAGAGACTTTGGGTTTCACATGTGCTGCATGCATGAAATACTGTATAATAATTATATGTTTCAGATTTTATTTTTGGTAAATAATTTGTTATTGTCAACATTTTAGCTCTTAAGATGGTTGAGGTTAAATTATTGCAGTTTTATTCTGGAACGATTACATAGTTTGTAGAGAAGTCAGTGTTACATGTTAAATATTTGTATCTATTCAGTATCATGATGTAACCAACCTATCTTCTTGAGTCCACTTTACATTTTCTATTCCTGTACTTACCCATGATACTTATGCCTGGGAGTGAGAATTGTGATACACATTAACGTGTGTGAATGCGTGTATGCCTGTGCACCTGTGTGTCTACATGCATACATGTTTCCTCAATTTGAATGCAGTGTGTGTATCTCCAGACTGGGTAACCTTGTGCTACAAGTCACATTTGGATTGCTTCTGTTCATTTAAATTGACAAAACTAGAAAAGTCTGAGGAATATAACTACAGGTAACAAGAGAAAGCAGTGCCACATCAATATTTGGATGAATCTGAAATTCATATTCTAGTTTTCTGGGTTATGACCACAATAAGAATCTGTGGAAACCCGCAAATTGATGAATTCATGTGTAGTGGTCCGTATGTATCTCAGAAACCTGTTGTTAACAGTATGTAATTTAAATACACTTGTAATTGATTTATTTTTCTTTAAAAATGTGAAGGTTGATTTTGAAATTACTTTTCTGTTACCAGCTTTTTAAACGTAAGCAGATTGTTACATCATCTAGGGTAAAATTCTCCCTGTCTGTAATTAATCAGGCACCACCCCATGAAGAGGAATTGGGGAAGTGGAGGTACAGATCCACAATTCTTAAACCTTTGCACTAGATGGAAATGAGTTGTCAGCTTCACTCCCTGGCCCGTTAACCCCTCCACCTTGGGGGGGGGGCTAGGTGGTTCCCAGAGCCAGTCTGGGTGCTGTGGAGTAGAGAAAAATGTCTTGTCCCTACCTGGAATCGGACCGCAGTCGTCCAGCCCACAGCCCGTTACCATACCAACTGAGCTCCCCTGGCTTCTGTTATAATACGTATCATGTCTAATGAATTTTTGTTAGGTATGCCTTTAAAATACAGTTGCCATTTCCTTATGACCCTCTTACTTCACATGGCAAATCAACGAATTTTTCCAAGATTCTTTTGCAGCTTAATTTTTTATTTGAAACATGGTAATTCTTTAGGTTGGTATGACTTGAGTAAAGGCGCAGAGCATGATGTCTGGATGAAACTGAAAATGTATGGAATTTGCGTAATAAACTGTTACTTGGTGTTTCAAAGCATAGCACAACGTTCTGAGAACTAATTGATTGCTTTCCTTTCACTGCAATTGGAATATTTGATACAAGTAAGAAAAAACTTTAGTATGTATGTGTAATTAATAAAATATGACAATTTGAGAGGCTGTGGTGTTGTTACTGCAGATCAGAGGGATGTATTAGGTATGCTGTGCAGTTGTCCACAGATGGCGTGATATATAATTACGATGTGTCATGACGATCTATGTAGGTACCAGACCGGCTCTGTTGTCTAGTGGTCAGAGTTCCTGCCTACAGATCCAGAGGCCCCAGGTTCGATTCCTGGCACTACCAGATTTTCTGAGAAGTAATGGGTGGCTGGAACGGAGTCCCCTCAGCCTTGTGAGGGTAATTGAGGAGCTATTTCAACGAAATAGCGGCTTCGGTCTAGAAAACGGAGATTAATGGCCGTGGGGATCCATTGCATTGACCACATGCCACCGACTATCCGCAGAAGTTGTCACGAACTTCATCGACAAGCGGCGGTCGCTTGGTTGGTATAGTTCGTTTGCAGACTACAGGCCATGGGGTTTGTTTTTGTTTTTTACGGTTATTACCTCAACAATTTGAGAGACTAAAGTGTTGGTATTACTCATGAGAAGGATTTATGATATATGCCATTGAAATGGCCTCAGGTGGCATGATAGACATAACAAAGTTTCATGATAATCGTTTCGGACAAACCACAAGTATTATTGAGGTTATTATCCCAACAATTTAAGAGGCTTCAGCTGCAGTGTTGGTATTAGTGATATTGAGAATTGATGAAGTACGTCATTTAGGTGGCTTGATGTGACATGATGTATGAAGTTCCATGATGGTTGGTAAAGGCATGCAAGCAAAATACTTTGCGTCAGCTATTTGAGATGCTTCGGTATTGGTATTACTGACAGGAATGTTTTATGAAGTTTGCCATTGGGGTGGTTTCAGGTGTCAGAATAAGTGTACGATGTCTTAACGATGATTGGTTCATGAATTCAAGTAACATGAAGTACCTCAATTATTTGAGAGGCTGCAGTGTTGGTACTACTGACCAGAAGAATCTATTAAGTACGCCATTGAGATAACCTCTTGTGGCTTGATATACGTACAAAATTTCATGATGATTTGTACAGGCCTCTCAAGCAAAATGAAGGTGTTGCTTCAGCAGTTAGAGAGGCTGCAATATAGGTATCACTAATTCAAGGGATTTATAAAATATTCTCTTTTGATGGTCCCAATTGGCATAATATCCATAAGATGTCTTATGATGGGTTCATGCAGTCAAGCAGTTTTAAGGTTTAATAGGCTGTAGTGATGGTACTACTGATAAGGGATATGATGTTGATAGTTCAGGTGGCATTATACATGACGTTATTTGGCGGTCAGTTTAGGCAGTCAGCTGGAACTGAGGTTACCTCAACAATTTGGGAATCTGGAGTGTTGGTATTGCTGATGGGAGGGATTTATGAGCTATGCTGTTGATATTTCCGCAGAAGGCATGATATACATACTATGTTTCATGACAGTCAGTTCAATTTGAGAGACTTATGGAGCTGAGCCCTTCTTGAGGAAAAGCCAAATCTGCAGCTACTCAAGAACTTCCCTGCATTTTATGGAACCCGAAGGTTCATTACCGTGTTCACAAGAGCCCTCCACTGGTCCCTATCCTGAACCAGATCAATCCAATCCATAGCATCCCATCCCTCTAAGATCCATTTTAATATTGTACACTCACCTGGCCTTGGTCTTCCCAGTGGTCTCTTTCCTTCTGGCTTTCCCACCAATATCCTATATGCATTCCTCTTCTCTCCCATTCGTGCTACATGCCCTGACCACCTCATCCTCCTTGACTTGATCATTCTAATTATACGTGGTGCAATCCAAAAGTTCCTGAAATATATCAATAAAAACTATTACATCTTACCTAGAGCTTATTCTGCACCATCACCTTCAAAGTAGTCCCCTTGGGAGTGCATACACTGACCCCAGCGTTTCTGCCACTTTTGAAATACATCCTGGAGGTCTTTCTTTGTTAGGGTGTTTAGTACCGTCTGCGTTTCTGCTTGAATTTCCTCAACTGTATCAAATTTTCGCCCCTTCAACTTGATTTTCGTCTTGGGGAAGAGAAAGAAGTTGTATGGAGTTAAGTCTGGTGAGTACGGTGGGTGGGGAACAACTGCCATCTTGTTTTTAGCAAAATATTCCTGCACAATGTAAGCCTTATGCGGTCGTGCGTTGTCATGGTGGAGTACCTAGTTGTTTGTGCTCCACTTCTCTGGACGTTTTCTCCTCATGTCCTCCCTCAAACGCCTTAGAACATCGTGATAGAACTCTTTATTGACTGTCTGACCCGGAGGGACGAACTCCTTATGAACAGTCCCGTCAATATAAAAAAACAGATCAACATGGACTTAATGTTGCTCTTGACTTGTCGAGCTCTTTTGGCCGAGGTGAAGAAGGGCTCTTCCATTGTGACGATTGCTGCTTACTTTCAGGGTTGTAGCCATAAACCGAACTTTAGTCACCAGTGACAACCTTCGAAAGAAAGTTTGGATCCTCTTGAAGCTGTTGTTCAAGTTCCCTGCAGACTTCCAAGCGATGCTGCTTCTGTTCATTTTGCAGCAGTCGTGGCACAAACTTCACCGCAATCCTCCTCATGTTCAGTTCCTCTGACAAAATTCGTTGACATGTACCATAACTTAGTCCCAAGGTGTTACAGAGGTCTTGGACGGACATTTTCTGGTGTGGTGCCAGTTGACAGCCGTCCCAAACGATCGTCATCAGCCGATATTCGGCCATCTTTGAAACGCTCATACCAGTCATAAGTTATGTCTGGCCTAAACTGTTGTCACCAAATCTTGCTTCAACATTTGGTGTGTTTCTGCAGCGCTTTTCCCAAGTTTAAAACAAAACTTTATACAGACACGCTGCTCTCTCAGGTCAGCCATTGCAAAACCGCAAACTCACGGAAACACAACAATGGAAATATGTTCACCAACAATGAATCCAACCACTCAACTTGACGCTGCTTGCCACACTGATTCAAGAAGGGTGTGTGGGGAGACACCTAGCGGTATTTCGATGTACTCATAACCATTCGCGCGAAAAATTCAAATTTCGGGGACTTTTGGATAGCACCACTTACTTGGAGAAGAGTACATGTTATGAAGCTCCTCATTATGCAGTTTTCTCCAACCTCCTGTCACTTCATCTCTCTTCGGTCCAAATATTCTCAACACCCTGTTCTCGAACACTCTCAGCCTATGTTCCTCCCTTAATGACAGAGACCGAGTTTCACAAATATTAAGCTTATTACCTCTAAAATTTGAGAACATGCAGTCTTGTTATTACTGTTGGAAGAGATTTATTAAATGGCTTTATGGCTCCATGTGACATACATGTTCATTCATTTCCTGTACATCAATTGATGTACATTGAATGTATGTTTAGGTTTCAGTATTTTATTGTCATAAGGATATTGAAGACGTTCCCTGGCCACCTACCATTATCTTATGGCACCTATGGTATCACAAGGAGCTTTGACATGACATGTGGCAAAGAAGTGCCACTTTGCAGCAATTCCAGAATTGTTCATATGATTACTAAATTGACAAATTTATTTATTTTCCTAAACTGTGATGCAGCTCCATCACTGAAGTAGAATATATATCTTTCATGTTGCTATTCACTGACTTAATGTACTGAATCAGATACTTCTGAAAAGAAAAAATGTTTACCTGTAGTACTTGAGCAGATACTGCTTCATGTCAATATGGAATATGTTATCCTAGATTACACACCCAAGATGCTAAGGTGTTCCAATGATTGGAGAAGTTTTTCCATGAGACAGGAAGTGTATAACACCTGTGGCACATGTGAATGCAGGTTGTCCATGGACTGTATGGACACCAACCGGTGAAGGTACTATAACTGCAGCTGTGGAAAAGCTCATGCGATGTCACATGAGAATTTGGGGTATTCCCATAATACTTCATGATGATCAGTTGCTTCCATACCACTACTTGTGGAGGGCACAAATGTTCCCAGATGATTATCCTATACAGAAGAAATTTTGCAATTGGCTGTGACACCAGCACACTGCAGATGAGCTATTTTTACATTACATTCTGTGGACAGGTGAAGCATGTTTTCACATGAGGGATTGTTCAATGTCCACAACAGTCAGCTCTGGGTATGGGATAATCGTTATGCTGTTCAGAAATGTAGGTCTGTAGTCCTCTCCAGCATCAGCATTTGGGCTGGAAACATCAGGGACGTTGTTGTTGTCTGCTGACAGCTGGACTGCTAAACAGTATCGTGATTTTCTGGGAACATCTGCCAGGTCTGCTTGAAGATTCACCACTAGCTGCAAGACAGGTTGTGGTTTCAGCGTGTTTCAGCTCCAGAGTATTATGGGGAAGATGCTGGCCGTGGTTGAGCACAGCATATACAGGAGGATGGATTGGATGTTGATGTTTGATTACATGGCCTCCCCAGTTGCTGGGTCAAACTCATTGGATTCTTTTCTGTGTGGCACCAGAAGGAGCATGTTTATACAGTTACAGGATTGTCAAGGTCTTGTGGTGAGACATCAAGCAGCATTGACAGCAGTCAGTACCAACATATTAAGATGTGGATAGGATCCTGTGATTATTCTTTTTATTCAGTGTAGTGACAAGGCTGCAGTCTGGACAGTCGAGGAATTGGAGCTTGATTCCTGGCAAGAGGACTTTCTTTTTCCCATAGCATCCAGATCATCTCTGGGGTGCATATCCCTGTATACAACAGGTACCACAGGAGTATAGTGATAAATCCATTTTGTGCTAGGGTTTAGAATGGTGGAGCTGTACTTACACTCCCCTGTGTCTTCTTGGCTCAGTGGTTAATTAATTAAGCATAAGAATAACTTCGTATTTTTACTATGCTGTATTCTCTGGTCAAGTAACCTGAAAGCAGTATACAGCATGAGGCAGCTTTCTTTAAGTTGACTCCTCCTCCAGTGACTCCATTCTCTCAAGCAACTCATAGTATTTCCAAATATTAGAGCAGTATATCAGATTTTCCTTACACACTCTTATTTTGAATGTCATAATTGTGTGAGGTGAACTACATTTTTTAAGGAAGTATATAAATAAATTTATTTTTCTCTTGGGTTTTTACATTTTCAAAATGATGAGTTTGTCAGGAATGTAATTCTGAGGTTGGGTAAAGACTGATTAATATAGTTATTTTTCATACTAATCCAGGAATTTGTTAGTCTTGTTTAATGGGAATTGTATTTTTTACCTAACAGTATTGAGTAATGAAAAGTTGCTCATTATGAGTAAAATTGTGGTGCTGAGCCTTATTTGCAGTTACAAAATTTAAACTGTCATATAAATATTCTATTATAGGGAATTGCTCAGTGTTACAGCATATCGTAAATTTCATTAGTTGCTATGACATGAATCCAAGTTGGCTGCTTTTCGCTTCTTGACAGAAATTATGGAAAGAAGGAACGTAACAAGTAGTTTGATTTTCTTTTCACCCAGATGATTGACTAATTGGCTTCCGATTTTATTTGCACTCATTATGTGTGGCTGTAATCATAGTGCAGAAATCAGACTGCAGTTTGAAAAGTTTGGCAACTTACATACTCCAGTATTTGAGTAAAAGTATTTAGCAGATACATTCCATGCAGTTTTGTATGCATCATTCCCACATGTTGGTGTAGGTGGTGGTAATGGTGGTAATGATGATGATGATGATGATTTATGGGAAATAAAAATTACTTCTTGCAGGCAGAAACTCTTTGTTTTAACAGTAATCATACTGCATAACGTAAGAAATTATTTTCCTTCAATTTTTTTAAATATACACCATGTAGTGTAGTTGGTTGAGGCACTATGCTACAAACTGGAAGGTCGTGGGATTGAATCCCGATGAGGTGGATTTTTTCAATTTACCTAATCCTTCCAGCTGCACTATGACCCTGTAGTCGACTCAGCCTCTAACAGAAATGAGTACCAGGAATATTCTGGGGGCGTAAAAGGCAACCTGCATGTAAGGCTGACAACCTTACCGCCATCTGTGAGCTGATTGTCTAGAAGATGTGGGAGCCTCAACATCTCACAACCCTATGGGCCTCCATGGCCTGTTAAGGGGATGCCTCTTTTTATACACCATATCAGCAGATTTTTCAAATAAGCATTGCAGAATATAAATAAAACCAGTTTCTCATGTTATGTACCTGACTTGTATGATGAACCGTTCTTGACAGAATGAATATAATTTGATTTTAACTCATAACGTAGGTGTTACTTAGACATTTTTTCTTGACAACTTATACGAGTACTACAGACCCTCCAGTACCAGATTTTATTAATATCTACATAGTAATTTCAGAGAGAGGTAAACGTGAACTGTCCATTATGCTTTAATTTTATGCATTTTGTTCACATTTTGAACACAAAAACAAGACAGTAACTTAAAATCTTGGTAGTGACATCTGTCCTGTACCAGATATAATAATGGTTGAACATCACTAACTGTTGCCATTGCTCTTTTTGTGGTGACACAGTGCACTACCATGTTGCTCTTTATATCCTTATATCCCTCTACTGGGTGCTGCTAGTAGTGTTAAATCGAGTCGATTAAGATGTGTAAAACATACAGTATACAGGAAATAGAAATATTTGATTATGTAAGTAATTGAAAGATATCCTAGGCACTTTCTTTATTTGCTGTGACTTCATTAGTGCTTATATTTGTGTTTGGCTGCTTTTCATTTATGGCAAAGAGCATGTAATTTGCATAGAAAATTACATAGCACGATACTTCATAATGTTTACTGTGTAGATGGTATGGTTACAGATGTGAAATGGAAGGGGTTGAGAAGGTGGTACATGTAGCATATGAAAGAAATGTGAAAGAAAAATAATTTTGTTTTGAAAAGTAATGGAGAAGTCTGCATGGGGGACAGGGTGTGAGAGGGTGGATAATGTTAAAAGGGATCTAAAGGAAATAGGTTTTGGGATCTATACTGACTAAAGAGATACGGTGGCTGGCTTTTGTGATGATGAAGTTGAACCTTAGGATTTCTAAACAACAAAAACTTCCTTGAACCTTTATGATTCATGAGAGAAGTGCTATAATGTTATCACTGAATGTGGTATGCTAATGAAGCTCTGTGTGTGTAATGAAATTTCTCAAAAATGGATTGTCACAGTTTTGTATATGGTATAGAGTATAGAACAAAAATAATCTTGTGCAGTCTGTGACATCATGGTAGAGCTAGTTTTGAAAACAGAGCAAGTCTCTGAAACATTGGTTTTTAGCTTGAACATGACATGGGTGATAACCCAAGGAGATTATTGCATTTAGTCACCATTAAATCTTAAAGATACAGATTTCACTCAGTTCTACATTTTGTGTTGAAATGTTTTCTTCATATGGTGTATATTTATCTAAATTTAATGAGAAATAATTGTTGACTCTGCAGTGAGATATCTGTAATGAAATTCAAGAGTAGATTTTGTATCTGCAATGAATGAACATCAAGGCCAGTAAGACATACAAAATAGCAAAGAATGTGCATGGAAAATATATGTACTTCGTTGGAATATACCATGTGACTCTTAACGGGAGGTGGTTTGTGTTGACATTCAGCAAATTCCTATTGTAGTTAAGTCAACTTTGAACCAGTAATTTTCCAGGAATTAATGTTACTGTTGCAGACATACCCCTGCACACAGCAGATGGAGGCAAGCACCACATATGAAGTGCAACAAGCAGGATCCTAGCTCATAGCAGGACCTCCTTCGGGAGTGAAGTGAGAGTGGGCAGAATGTTGTACGTGTTCCATGTAGACACAGGAAAGATGAAGACTTTTGACATGAACCTGGCTGTGGAGAGGTGAGTTCTGTCTTGTATTCAACAACCATAATTTGAATGAAGGCCATATAACATTAACTTCATAATTCTTTAGTCTGAACCATGCCTAATATTGCAGAATGTAATAATGTCAAATGCCTCTCATACACATAGCTTATGAAGGGTATTTAAATTGACTGGTCAGATAGTGTTATGATTCAGTAATTTTAACTGATGTACAGAGCTTATGCGTGATAAATTGTTGCATGAATATCTGTAAAGCTAAATGAACTGGTGTCCTTGTTTGCAGTGTGGGTCATGTACGAGTATCTTACCTGAATTTATGTGACTTCAGTGTAAAACAGCTCCAGGATGTGATTGAGAGAAGCTGTGGCATCCCTGTGGAGAAGCAGGTGCTCCTGGTGAGTGGTGGGGAGGCTTTAGATCCAGCAGCTCGTGTGTGCAGCTACTCTGCTGGGACTGATACCAACCCCATCTACCTGTTCAGCAAGAATACTATTGAGAGTCTCACCCCACCTGCTCTCAGCATTGACTTTGGTCCAGGTATTGTGTAATTCCTTTTTGTGTTTCAAAGATTAGGTCAGTTCTTTGTTCCAACTTCTTGTACACTTCTTGGCCTTTTCAGACTTCTACTTTTTGGTTGAAATTGGATGCCCCTTTTAGGAATTTGTTTATTCATGTTATGAGCTTGTATTTGGACAGATTCTTTGTCCCACGTAACACACATTGCCAGAATTGCCAGAAGTTTATTTATCAGTAAGGTTTTAATATTGTCGTGTTTGACTTGAAGTTGATTTAGTTCACCTGTCCTTTTTGAATAAAACCATGTTATATTGCATTGTCTATGAGTAGAGGTTTATGGATGGGTCATTTCTATCTGCATGTATTATCAGATGCCTTGTATTCTTTTCTTCCCTTTATTTTCCACTACATATATACTTATGTTTATGATTCAGTTTCATTTAGTGTACTTGATACAATGAGGCAGCTCTCATGTGGGATATAATAGCTGTATGAAGTCACAGTTGAACTCCAATGCATGCTATCCACTTTCTTTGTGTTTGTGGTTTCCACTGAAGTACAGTTATGGAGCACAAACAGGGGAAGGAATTGTGAATGACAACAGTTCTGATATTGATTTTCTACCTGAATCAAGTCCGTTGGAGTTATTACGAGTATAAGAAGGAAATGAAGAAGGCATTTCAAAATCATCACATGACTTGGATCAGCCAAGATTTTCTGAAAGTGGTTGACATCCCTCTGTCCTTCCTTTTATTGCCAATACTGTAGTGCAGTTCACATTACAAGACAGCCACAACCTGTCTGAGAGGCTGGAACATTTTTTTTAACCCTCCAGTATTCCAAAACTAGGTATGAGACATCAATGTAGTAGTGAGCAGTGGTGGTCTGTAACAGTTCCTCTAGCATTCTTACCAGCACAGTTACTATGAGGGTAAGTCAATAAGTAAGTTACAAATGGATATAGAATGTAAACAGATAAGAGTACTGATTTGAAAAATGCTTTTATTTCTCAACATAATCTCTCTGTACATTGAGGCACTTGTCCCATCGTTTCACAAGCCCCTGAAAACCATCAGCATAAAATTCTTTGGCCTGCTGTCGGAACCAGCCGGTGACTTCCCTTACTACATCTTCATTGTCAGGAAAATGTTCAGCTGAAAGATGATTTTTAAGAGGGCCGAACAAATGGAAGTCACATGGAGCAAGGTCGGGTCTATCTGGAGGATGCTCGAGGACTTTCCACTTGTAATTTCGCAGCGTCTCATTTGTCTTGTTGGCAGTAAGGGGACGCGCGTTGTCATGCAAGAGTAACATGCCTTTGGTGAGGAGTCCTGGTCGCTTCCGTTGAATGGGCTTACAAAGTTTCCCGAGGATGTTACAGTAGGAGTCGGCATATATGGTTTGTCCTTGAGGCTGGAATGCGGTGAGCAGTATGTCTTTGTGATTCCATAAGACTGCGAGCATCACTTTCCTGGACGATGGTGTCACCTTAAACTTTCTTTTTGGCAGGTGACGCAGGATGTTTCCACTGCCTTGACACACGCTTTGTCTTGGGCTGGTAATGGTGAACCCAAGACTTTCAGGCTAGCTTGTCATGTCCTTCATCATGGTAGATGCTGTAATGCCAGACCCATTCTTTGCATTTTGTGTTGTGGAGTCAGCATGCGCAGCACACATCATGCACAGACTTTGTGATAACCTAACCTGTCATGCATTATGAGGTAGGGGATGCCATGAGAACAACTAATAGCAGTGGCTGTAGTGTCTATAGTTACCCTTCTGTCTGCTCGGATTAGGTCTTCGACCCGTTGCACATTCGCCTCTGTGGCAATCTCTGTTGGCTGGCCGACACAATGTTCATCTTCGATACATGTCCGCCTTTCAGAGAACTTCTGCACCCAATTGTAAACAGCTTGACATGACAGGCACTTCTCACCATAGATGGGAAGCATTTCTTCATGACTATTCTTTGATTCCATACATTTTGCCCACAAAAATAGCACAATGGCGCTCTGCTCGAGGGTTGTACACTCACTCAGAGGCGCCGCCATCTTGCAGCTGCTGTTTCGCTTTTGTAAACATCGATTGTCTCCTGTTGAATGTCATCAATTGCCACCAGACTAAGGGCGATGACACACAGAGCAGTTGTGCCAGGTCGGCCACAGCCTTGTGAAAAGACACACAATGCTGCACACTGATTCGGCGGCCGCATCAGAAATTGCTGAGAATATATTCAATCTATGGAGTAAGTCTTCAAACCGCTCACTGCACTGCCTGCAGATGACAGGCCGAGTCTGCAAATCTGCCTGACGGCGAGCACCACCTTGTCTGTTTTATCCCATCTGATTCAGTAGAACTATGCGCCAAGTTGGCAAAAACCGCTCCGTGTGTCATTGCCCTAATGCTGCCATCTAGTGGTGATAGCCTCTAGTGCCTCATTCAAACATTTAGTACCCCACATCAATTTGTAACTTACTTATTGACTCACCTATGTAAAACTGTCAAACTTATGGAAGCCCACTTGGGCCAGAACTTTAGAATGTGTAAAACAGTTTCTTTAAATCATGATCTTTTGAGTCAGTAACATAAAAATTTAAAACTAGAGGAAGACACTTTTGACAGAAGCAGGATGTACTTGTCCTCAGCTTCCAAGAAGTGTTTGGTAAATATGGTATGAACTCTCAAAGCAGCGGAAACCCTGCATGCTCAGAGCAAAAGGGCAAGTAAACACAGAGGAGAAATCATAGTTCATTGCAACTATATTTGTGACATGTACTGTCCGTGATTCCAGTGGTTTTTGTTGCTGTAATGAAGTCTTTTTATGAACCATAGTCCTTCTGTCTTGGTTTCACTCTACTGTAGGGTCACTCCAGTTTCAGTACTGTGTGAAAGATGTTTACTTGATGGTTCCACAAGGAGGCTCCACAGCCAAACTTAAAAAATTCCTGTTGCTAATGGTATAATTTCAGTGGCAGTTGTACGAGGGTTGGAACTTTAATCTTTATATGCCGGGCCATTTAAATTCCGGTAATGGCCGCGGGTCGGGGTTAATTTAAATGCCCGCCATTGTAGAGTAATAAAATTGTAATCATGTTACTCAAAATGCTGTGATTTCTACAATTTTTGTGATAAACGAACGAAATAAACGCTACTTTTATCTAGAAAGAATATAGAATCATATATTGTAATTTACAGATTTTAGAATCTGTAAAAATTGTTACATTGATTCCAAAAAATTTTTTTCCCAATTTTGAGCGTCTGTCCACAAAAATGCATAAAGCTTCTGCACAAAACGTTTCTGCAGTATAAATGCATGCTGCTGACACACTGTCTATATTTTATCTGGCAAGAGGAGAGGAAGTTTATGTTTTAATTGCACATTCTCCAGTCAGTCGGCTTACTGTATACAGGAGTGTGGGCAAGTTCTTATCCTGCTTTGTCCTTATGAAACTCTGTCTGTTTATATGTCGGACTAAACACACAGAAGTACTGTTCTTGGAATATCCACCCAATGCCCCTTGTGTCCTCGTCCCTTCAGAATCGACTGTACTGCATTCTGAATGGTGTGATTTACGAGTGGCCTCTCAATTTCGGCTTCTTCCATGCGAAATGAGGCCATGGTGCATAGTTGAAATTGCGATGTTTTATAAGTGTTATGAATAGAGGAGACCACTCATCATCACTGGCCTACTTCCTGCTAATACGAGACTGATGTTGCATGTGTGTGCTTCGCGTGGAAAACAGAGTTACATAGGGACAAAGTGCATGAATTGCGACGTCGGACTCTGCATTCAGTTACCTGCAAAATTCAGTTAGATGATGCAGGAGGGAAGACAGTCTACTTATAAAGCTGGTGTCCAAAAATAATGTAAGTAGAACAAGAATTTCTGTCTTAAAATTAGATTTTAAAACACTGTGCATGCGTGGACTGCGAGTCACCATATGATGTCGTTCGGACACTCGGCTTTACTTTAAAGGTCCCCATTACGGTGTCTTTCGGCTCATAAAGGTTAATAGTGGCAACTATTTATTTACAACTGATACAAAATAGATGCATGTTTCAAAGTTTTACTGTCCTTCAATGTAGTCACCAGCATTGTGTACAACCCGTTGTCAGTGATGTGGAAGTCGTAGGATACCTTTAGCAGCGCCTGTTGTGTTCATAGTTCAAATGGAGCGGTCTACTGCCAGAAGAATCTCTGGAACAGTTCTGAAGCGAATGCCACGAAGTGGTTCCTCCATCTTAGGAATCAAGTCAAAGTCACAAGGGCTTAAGTCCAGGGAGCATGGTGGATGGTACAGCACTTCCCAGCCCCATCGATGAAACAAATCAGCCACAGCTTGCCATTTCTGCATTTCCGTCAAATCATGCGGAACCCATCATGATGCAATTTTTCTCATGCCCAGGCGTTCCTTCAGAATGTGAAGCACAGTTGTATGCGCTAATCTTGTCTCTCGGGCCATCTCACGAATTGTATGGCGTTGATCACTCTCCAGTAACATGGAAAGAGCATACACTTCTTCACTGACACTAGGACGACCTGGCCGATGCATGTCTGCCACATTTTGGCATCCCTTGTTGAAGGCTTTTACCCACCTTGCCAATGTTCTGTAAGGTAATGCAGATTCCCCGCAAGCCTCTTGAAGACCTTGATGACACTGTCGTGCTGTATGGCCTTGGCACATTCAATCTTTATCCAACTCCGTTGTTCCTGTTTCGAAAACATCATGACAACACTACATTAGACCGCCAGCTAACACAAGGCTCTGTTCTTCTCGTCACTGCCCATGCGCATGATGTGGGAAGGGAGAGTCCATTTGCTCTGAGGTAAGGTAGGTATATAACTGACGTGTGGTTTAAGCGACGTTATTTGGTTCCGTTGCATGGCATCTCTACAGTAGTGTTGCCACTATTAGAGTTCCAACCCTTGTATAATGTGCACACCGTTATATCAGTTGCTTAAGTAAGTGTGGTTCCAGTCTCCCTAAAATAAACTCAGAGAGAATGAAGTCACATGATCAGAATCTCAGAATTGAGCTCGAGGAATTGTAATGTCCTTGAACATTACAATTTCTGGTACTCTTGAAAAGTGGATCTCTATTGCTTAGATCCCTCTCAGTTATCTATTTGTCAGACCCACAAGAACAGTAGGTATTATGCAGTACTGGCTTGCAATCAAGATGTGCTTAGCCCACTAAGCATTTATTTTAGGAAAATGTTTGCAGTTCTCTTTCCTGAACATAAGGAGTCTTTTATTCCTTGAACAGTCCATTTGACCCCTGAAGAGTATTCTGTTAGGGAACCCTGATGCCATCTTTGTCACAATGAGAGCATATCACCATACCACATTCAAACTTTGTTCAGTTTCTTTTTCCTTTCAGTGCCTGCCTGTAGGAGCAAGTTATGATAGAAATTTCATTCAATTGGGAAACTTCTCTTAGCATAAACTTTATAAGAGATCTGAATTTTTTCTTTATCTTGGTACAGCCCAGTAGAACACATATCACTTAAAAAAATTTCTGTTTGATAATACTCCCAACATCAGTCCTGTGTTAAAAAGGATTTTAAACATTCCCTTGTTATAGTGCATTAAAAGTAGAGTTTATATGTAGATTTTCATCCATGATATGTATGTAATGGCCGTCTTGTAGCACACTCAATTTCATATGTCACTTCTTACTACATGTTTCAGCAACATAGTGCCATCTTCAGGTTCGTTATTTACGCTAAGCTATTACATTGTTTGCCATCTTGTGTCTTTCATAAAATTATTTAGGAAGCACATTATTTGTCAACTATAATAAAATTTGTATATACTAAAACTTGTTAAGATTATTCATCTATATGTCTTAATTCAAATTCGCATATAGTGTGGTTCATCCACTATGGGAGTCGTTTCTGAGTGTACTGTGTCTGCGATGTGTCCTTCCTAAATAATTTTATGAAAGACACACGATGGCAAACAATGTAATAGCTTAGCGTAAATAACGAACCTGAAGATGGCACTATGTTGCTGAAACATGTAGTAAGAAGTGACATATGAAATTGAGTGTGCTACAAGACGGCCATTACATACATATCATGGATGAAAATCAGTGCAACAGGACGCTTAAATACAACATTGTAAATCTTTATGTTTCATAAGGTAGTTTACGATCCCTGATTGTTTAAAAACAGTGCATTACTTTGTCCCTAGAAGTCACATATTACACTTGAGGACACTGAAGCATTTTTCCCTGTATGGGAGGGGTTTCTTACATTTGGAGAGGTGTCAGGATAATGATGTGAATTACATTCTGTGCATTTCATACAACCTTACGAATTAAAAAAATATATATATATAGGAATAATTTTTGTATACAAAACATATTTTGGGAAATTAATATATTGCAAAACCAATTGGTTTCAAATCCAGTATCTAAAGTTTCTTAAAAAGAATATATTCTTACCTTTGTGTAGTGCTTTAAGTTATAAGTATAACTGTAATGTTTTACAGTGTCTCAGAAGACTTTTTTTATGGTAAGCCATGCATGTTGCAGATATTTCTCTGAAGGACCAAGTGGATGCCACTCAGAACATGCCTGACACTTACACAACTGTTGTAGTGAGGACCCAACTGGCACAGCAGTTCTGTGATCATGCACGTGAACAGACACGGGTCTGTGAAAATCTGGTCCATGATCAACATCTCCAGCAGCAAGGTGCATCTGAAGAATTACAAAATTGTCTTAGTTAAGAAAGGGGGAAACAAACGTGGATACTAATAAGGCATCTTAGGTACCATTGGGCAGTAATTGTATTACTTGTTTCATTTGGTTGTGGATTCATACGTTCAAGTAAGAACTAAATTGAAATTGAAGAAAGCAGTCTTCTGGGATGTGGCATCTTGTAGATATTGTGTTAACCGACGATTAAGAGGAACATACCACCTCCATCTTCAAGGTAGAAGAAAAAAGAAGAAAATCCGCAAGCGAGGAACCAATTGACATTGTTTGAAGGACAGTTAGGGGCACACAGTAGTGTAGTTGTTTGAGGCACTATGCTACAAGCTGGAAGGTTGAGGGTTGGATTCCCAATGAGGTCATTGGTTTTTTCAATTGACCTGATCCTTCCAGCCACAGTATGGCCCTGGGGTCGACTCAGTTTCTAACAGAAATGAGTACTAGGAATCTTCTTGGAGGTAAATGGCAGCCGGCATGCAAGGCTGACAGCCACACAGCCATCTGTGATCAAATTGTCTAGAAATGTGGTGGACTCAATGTCTCGCAACCCTATGGTCCTCCACTTCCTGTTACAGGCATAACTTTGTCTTTGAAGTACAATTTCTCAAGGTAACATTTGAACCTAAGAGGAATGTTTAAGTGGGAGGAGGAGACTGTGGAGGGTATTAGCCATTATATTTCTAACGAGAAATATATTTAAGAGTTTGAGCGAGGAATNTGAATTTCTCTCTGAATGTTCAGTTTTCCTCAACACAAAAACAATAATTATTTTCCTCCAGAGCTTGATTGAAACGTTCATCTTTCTTGAGGCTTGTTCTTTGCATGCTATCCATAATCCCACCCTTCTATGTATTAACTTGTATGCCTTCTTTTCCCTTGTGGGTTCCATTCTGCAACCTGTGTAGCAGTTGTGTAATTCTCCATTTGCATGAAGTGGTTGTACCCTCAAAATTGCTGTTCTTCAGTTTCCTATAATATATCTATCTTCATTCCCATTCTTGTTCTAATTGCTTCATTTATAGCTATATCCATTCGTGATAAGTTGCTGAAAGCCTCAAATAAGTCAATTCTGTAGCTAATAATTTATGTCTTTGTTTCTGTTTTATTGACCATGTTTCACCTCCATATTTTAATATACTTTTTACAGCCTTAACATCTGAATGTTTTATAATTCAGGATGGGCAGCAGTTTTGGCCAACTTGGAGGACGTCACCCAGGTTTTCAGAACTCGAGCAGAACATTTCAATCAGAGCTTCAGCCAGCATCTGGAGATGAGGGCAGAGCACATCAAGCTTCTGGATAAGTAAGAAGTTGCATTTGAAAATTACATCCACTCATTGTTATGCTATATTATTTGTGTTGCATTTATCTGTATAGATTAAATGAAATACAGTGTAACACTATAAAATGAGTATGGATTATGATGAGAACTTCATAATAGCAACAAAAATCGGACCATCATTTTCTTAACATTGGATATGTAGGAAACCCTCACTTAAAGTGAGAGCTTTCATCTAGCATTTTCATCATTACAAGTGAGTCCTAACTATAACTCTTTGTATCACTTGTACTTGTAGTTTTACTATCTAAGCTGTTTATAGCAGGTTGTCAGAAAAAGTACCCTGAACTCACCCTTGTTGATAATTGGAAGTTAGTAGATGTTTTTGACTGTTTTTGGATATTACAGGTGTACATTAGGATTAAATTCTCATTATGTTCAGGTTGTACTGTTATGGCATCTAGCAAATATTACAGTGCATGATTAGTTACAGTCTCATGTGCAACACTATGTCCTATAAATTTTATTAACTTTATAAAAGTGTGAACTTTAGTGTTGCACATGAGACTAATTGACACTAAGTGAAACAGTGCAACAGGATGCTACAATATAATATTACTGTGAATGATTTGCAGTAGGACAGTTTTAGGCTCCTGGAAACGATTATTTCATTTTGTAGGTGCCAGTTGGGATAATTTTTGGTTCCTAGGGACTGTTTTTTGTTGATGCTAAGTAGAATAATTCTGTGTTCCTAACAATCAGTATGGTGTATTTTATTGATAAAAAGTAAGATAATTTCCTTACCTTATTGGATATTTGAGAAAGGAAAGATTTTTAGCCTCTTAAAGTATGTATGTGATAATACATGTTATCTGTCATGCCTAGCTTTGGGCAGTTACTCAGAATTTGTGACAGAGAAGTTTGCTGAATTTACATAGAAACAAGCCACGCCATCACAAGTACAGTATGCGCCAAAATATGAAGTATTGAAATGAAAAGACATCCTGTTGATATCACTGTCTATTCATGTGAAAGCCCCTTGCATGACAGAATCTTCTCAAATCCTGAAGAAATGGTCCGATCACCATGTCACTGTAGCATTCTTCAGTGATGGTAAGAGCATTGCCTTCCTCATCCTCAATGAAATAGGGGTCTAATATACCGCGTGCTGAGATGGCACACCATATCGTCACGTGTACTATGTAGTGGTTTCTGGACAATAACATCTGGCCACTCAAAACCAAGAAAGCGAATTGTCTGGCGCCCACTTCCATATGAGCGGAAATAATACTCAACTATGAAAACTTTTTCCTCTGTCAAGAGACCCGTTTCCAACAACAACTGCACAACACAACTTCCTTTTCACTAATGGGAACATGTGTGGCTGGGGCTATGCCCCATCGACAAACACGTGCGAGTTCGAGATGCCCGAGTTCAGTACTGCATTTTTAGCGCATACTGTACGAGTATGTGCACCACATGGATCAGGCCAGCTTGATGGGAGGAGCATCTGACTCTTCTGTCTTAGCACATACTGGCAAGATACTCATTGTGCATATTCATTTCTTATATCTGCTCTGTTTATTAGTAGCCCACTAATATACAATGTCAGTTCTGAATATGCTTTCTATTTAGAGGCTCAGATGAAATGGATTGTTACATGAACTGCAGCAAACATGCGGTTCATATTACATGAGACTCTCATGGGAGTATTGTCTTTGGACATTGTCCAGTGTGTAGATGAAAACTTGTATGACTTTTGAAGCCAACACCACATGCTGCAAGAGGGAATAACACACAAGCAAGGGGCATATTACAGATGGACTAATGAAACAGAAAAACAAGCTGCTGAGACAAACTGTCTGGGATATCACATAGCTTTAAACAAGAGAATAATACCCCTTATGAGGTGGAATAGGATTTTATGAAAGATTCTAATAGAAAAATTTTAACGAATTTTAGGTAATTATTTATGTTATTTTAAGTGGACTGCAATGCGCAATTTTAGCGCTTATGAAAGCAGTGCGAAGGTTCGGACGCATTGAAACACCTGAGGATGGTCGTTTGTGGCTGGAACATATTGTGTTAGTGGTAAATGATGAATATTTTAATGATTGTTGTGTTATCGATGTACTTAATACATAGACATTTAATTGAAGATGTGCAACAGGATACTGAAATACAGAATTATGAAGTTTGGTGTATTTATTTCAGTTTCCAAGATGATATAAACATGCTGGAGAAGATTCCAGTGATCCCTGTATTGCTGGAAGCTGCAGAGGATGAGGCCGCTGGAGCTGCCATAGCACGGGTGTCACCATTGCAGGAGGGAGGGGAGCTGACAAGAAGTGACAGGGATGGGGACCAGCAGTTGGATGACAGGGGAGGAGAGGGTACCTGTAGCCAACAGCAAAGTGATCAACCAGTAACCCTCCTGCAGTGGATCTCTGCCAACAACCAGAGCAACATATACCAGTTGGCTCAGTTGTGCATGAGAAACTTGGAACAGGTGTGTAGCATTACCATTGAACTCTTAGTGATAGATAATGAAAAATTCTGGTCTGAACCTTGGTAATTGTATACAGTTTTATAAGAAACGTGCATAGAATGCAGGTGTGGTTGGATCAGTTTCATCTCTAACACCATCAGAAATGTGTTTACTCACAGTTACTGAATACGAAGGGGGACCCAAAAATAACCGGAACCGACCTGTTTCGCGCACATGCTTTGTAGTTATGAGTTGTGCTGCTAGGTGGTGTTAGCTGGGGGTCTCCCGCGACTGTTAGTGAGCTGGCATCAGTCTGAGTTAAGTGGTTTGTCTGTGGTGCTCTGTTGTGTGCGTTCCTGTTTCAACCCTTTGGCGATTAGTGAGATGGCCGACCAGAAGGAACAAAGAGTGTGCGTGAAATTTTGCTACCCATAGCACCAAGACTCATCGCCAGTCACAATTCTTTTAAGAAATTCTGGATCGTTCTGCACCTCACTCTTCAAGTCGCGGCAAACATTCACGCGGTTTTCTCTTTGGTCATCTCCGAGCAAGGGAGGAGCAAATTTTGCAGACACCCGTCTCATGTGCAAACCTTCGGTTAAAATTCGCTGGACCGTGCTCCATGAGATGTTCGTTTCCTCAGAAAGTTGGTCAATGGTCTTTCGACGATCTTCATCAATTGCACGTTTGATTTTGGCAATGTTTTCGTCATTTCTTCCTGTCGAAGGACGCCCGGGGCGTGGCATGTCTTCTGTTGACATGTTGCCAGATTTGAAATGGGAAAACCACTCGTAGACCTGTGATTTCCCCAAAGCATCATCATTAAAGGCTTGCCGAAGCATCCCAACAGTCTCGGCTGCAGTTTTCCCTAACAGAAAGCAAAATTTCACGCACACTCTTTGTTCCTTCTGGTCGGCCATCTCACTAATCGCCAAAGGGTTGAAACAGGAACGCACACAACAGAGCACCACAGACAAACCACTTAACTCAGACTGACGCCAGCTCACTAACAGTCGTGGGAGACCCCCAGCTAACACCACCTAGCAGCACAACTCGTAACTACAAAGCATGCGCGCGAAACAGGTCGGTTCCAGTTATTTTTGGGTCCCCCCTCATACAATACTGTTTTCAGAGTATAAATAATGTTCTAAGCCATCAGTCTTAACTAAAAAATAAACGAAACTTTGTTTTTCATCTGAAACAAAAGCATGTACCCAGCAGAAGATACAAGTTCTGGGATGGTTACTGGAAACCATTTTAAGGTCACAACATGGGATTCTGTGCCAGGCTTGGTTTATCTGAGGGCTGTCAAATGAGATTACAAAGTTTCCTGCTTCCCTTATATAGGACATACTGAACACATAGTTAGAGTGGGAGATTCTGTTGTATTTTGGCTTCATTTTAGCCTTTATTGGTTGTATATTGCAGTGTTGTGAGTTCATGCAGTACACTGCTGAATGTCTCAGTATCAAACCTCTAAAGCAACATATTGTCACATATATGTATAACTGTAGACAGGGTTTTGGATTGGAGATTGGATTTATTAGATCCTTATACATATGACTTGTGAAAACAATTATAGCACCATTGCTAATTTCTATCCTTTACAAATCACTAGAGCACCCGCTAAGCATTTTCCTGTCCACAGTGTCTTCACTAGTAGTTGCCCTGGGAACAGCTTCTGACAGTAAGCTTTTCCTCTGCTTCTGGGCTCAGGTCCTATCTGAATGGTGGCTCCCTTCCAACTGATGAAGTCTTCTCTTCATCCTTCTTATCACTTCTTGTCATGGACCACTCTAGAAAACACCGTTTCTGGCAGTTAATTTGTTGCTGCAGAGATGTGCTTGTTCATGATTGTTACCTAGTAGCAGGTGTACCTGCTGCAGTATATTTGTTCTTTGTCATCTACATGAGCATGGGTTTCAGTACATGCAAGTAGAGATAGTAACATGTTTTGGCACATGTATGCTACATCAGATCGTTAATTATATTTAAATTTGAAAAAGTTGTAACATTGGCTGACACAAATACTATATTTATCCAAATGTAAGAAGATCCACCCTTAATTTTTAAAGTTTCAAAATAACATATATTTCACTACAAGACTTTGCCAGTTTTCCATTTTGCCAAGGCCATGTATCTTTGTATCTAGTTCAGTGATGCCCAGGTTTATGCCAGACTGCAGTTGTTGGTGGTGTTTTTGTAAAGTTTAATCAGTGTTGTCCACGTGTTGCTTTAGCATGCCACAGCAAGCCTAGTGTCATGGTGTTCTCAGTATAAATCCCGTTACTGTGAAGTTTAAATCAAGATGCCAGCAGTGCAGTAGGGAACTCTAGATGTTAGAGGTTGAAAGAGGTGTTTGTTGTGTGTGCAGGTTGATGACCAGGCAATTGAATCTCTGAAGGCAGAGGTAGATAAGGTGCTGAATCACATCTTTCGGACGGAAGTGAAGGAAATTAAGGGCTTGGAAGAGCGGTTGTATGGACTGGAGCAGCTCATGGTTGAAACCAAGAAAATTGTTCAGGAACAGAGTGACCTGACTCAGGTACACCACCTTCAAGTCCATTGTTGTAGTAGACTTGACACCACATTTTGTTCTGCCAAGTCTGGTGTTAAGGCAGCCTCTGTGCTCATTTCTGCTACATATTGCCTAGTGTGGATCCTTGCTATCCTGTCATACAAATTATTGGGAGTTTTTGTTTTAGTAGCTTAGTTTGTGGTTCAAGATATTCGTATTTTATTGGTATACATTAGTTTGAAACACAGCAGGCGTATAAAAAAGTAAACTTATGTTGCAATTCTGTTGAAAGTTAACTATTGTCTTTGTTTTTTATTACTAGTGGGGTGGGACTAAGTCCCTTGTACTGTGACCACTTTTGGCCTATTGTATCATCCCCAGATGATAGGTGAGGGTGATTGTGGAGCCGTTGGTGTAATGAAGATTGGTAGGGGAAACCGAAGTACTCGGAGAAAACCTGCCCCAGCGCCACTTTGTCCACCACAAATCCCACTTGACCAGACCTGGGATTGAACCTGGGCCGCCACGTTGGGAAGCCAGCGACTAACCACTTGCGCTTTGGCGTGGCCCCAACTATTGTCGTACAGAATTTCTACTTCTTTTAAATACCACTTTTTCTTGAATACTGTCAAATTATGAACACATGATGACTGCATGTTAGAGTACCACTTTTCTTGGTAACCAGGATTGCCCATTTGAAGAATCAGCATTTTATTTCTTTTGCAGGGGGAGGGGCAACAACAAATGAGTGAACGAGGAGCTTCAAGTGTGTGTGGGGGAATGAGATTTATTATAACTTTCATTTCATTTGAATATGTTCTTATTGAGCTGAAAAACATCTTGGGCAAAATGGGCAGGTCATCAGTTTATTTGAGCAACCAGTGTGGTTGTGTAATGGACACTAGCTATAAGATGATAGATTTTTCAGTTCATATTTTTTGAAGCCAAGCTTGAATTGGCACAACCACAATTTGTAAGCTGTTTCTGGTTTCTGGTTTCTGGTGAAGGCTTGATATTGGTAATCCATAAAATCATCTGAAGTTATAAATTATTATAAATGAAGAAATTATGAGAGTTACGTATTAAAAAAATAGTAGAATTTATTGAACAGTGCAGAAGAAACTGAAAAGAATACTTTGACAGGATTCCAAAAATGTTCTTAAAATCCCAGCCAAAAGTAAACAGAATTTTGAGAAGACCTTTTGAATGACTGAAGGATTCTCTTATGGAATATGGGTAACAGATCTGAGTAGAGCTAATGCTGAAGAGGATGATGATTGCAGTTACGATTTCCATAGTCACAGTAATAATGGAGGTTGTACTTTTGCAGTCATTTCTGTCGAACCAGACTCGGGCAAATGTCCTGGGTGATACCTCTATCTTGCCGGACCTTTGTGCATCCCATCGACGCCAGCTGCAGGTGATGTTGCACAACCATGAACACTTGCTGGACATTCGAGCCCGTTGCACCCGAGCCAAGGAAGAGCTATGTCAGAACCTGCATATGCGCCTGAAATGGATTATGTATGTGGAGAATATGATGTGTGATGTAGGGAGCCGCCTCATGATGTACTATGAGAAGCTGAAGCGGCTGCGCCGACACCTTGATGTCATCCAGCAGATTCACCTGTCTCCACAGATGTACATCAATGCTGTTGGAGAAGTAGTCCGGCGACGGACCTTCTCTCAGGCATTTCTTCTGGTCAGTTATGTTACTTCTATCTTGTACTTCAGAGTGGTGTGCCTGAATCATTTTATTTGATGAGGATAAAGTTAGCAAGGTTCATAACCACTCACCTTGGAGTCTGTCATAGAGATGACTTTTGTGACCCACTAAGTCTTTAACATTTGCTTGTGTTCTTTGTTTTGTTATGATACAGGTCAGTATCAGGATGAATATCAGGAGTGAGGGCTGTGAAACCAAAGCACCTGATAAAGCTATTTATTACTTCATCACACTGCTCTTGGCAACAGACATAGATGTCACTTTATTGCATGTTAGTGACTTCACTACTGGAATGCTCAGCTGTGGAAATTATACCAGGTTTCTTGATATGAATTTGATTATTCTTGTACAGTTGGCTACTTCCTCAGAATATTTCAGTACAGGTTCAGTGAAGTTATTGGCCACATTATTTGTGAAACAATATTGAGATTATTATTTTCAAACTGAACTTTGAGTGACTCATCCTTAATGTGAAGTAGGACAAATTCTCTTTCAAGCAGCACCATCTTCTTAATAATCTCAAATGTAGGTGCAGATCCAAAGAATGTGTGGGAATGTTTTTATCCCTGACTTGTTGCAGCACCATCACACAAATTCACATTTGTGTGTGAACTTACTATAAATCACATGCAAAGAATGCTCAAAATTAATCACCACAGGAAATAGTAGAGCAAAGCCCACCACACTGTAGGAACATTTGCTACCCGGAAAGAACTCTTATGAACATTACAAAGACAGTCATTGGCAGCAGAACGGTGTCTGATCAGCAGTCAATCCTTCAAGCCCACAGAGGAGCATCAAGCGCATATGTCTATTCAGTACATAGATAGATGATATCAGTGACAATGAGGATAATGATGATCTGTGAGATATTTAGAGTTACAAACAATAGAAGAAGGTCAGACTCAACTATGATTTGAATGTACAAGAGTCCAGCATGTCAACCCATGTCATTGCTTGACTATAAATTTGCCCCAGTTTGTCCAGTGATTGAGACTAGCTCTTTCTAACGGGCCCAACTGAGTAGGTCTATCCTGCCCCATCCACCTGAGGATGGAGACAGATCCAGTCTCCGAAACGTGTGTTTTTTCTATATACCAGACGATGGATAGAGTTAAAAATAAGCCTAATAGTTCTGTACAGTTTATACCATCATCGGAATCCTTTCAAGTCAAATTCATGCTCGCCTTTTTCTTGTTTTTGCTCATTTCACTCAATTCCACATCTGTGCTCAAGTATTATTTTTAGAACCATTTGGTGTTTGTTGGTAGTATAGCAGCAGAAATACCACAGATATCTGACTGGTCCTTGTCTATACAGACCAGGCTAGGTTCAGATGAATACTGGTGTAATCGTCTTAAACAGGATACACACTGAAGTGCTTCTACAGATACATTCCAGAAACTGCAATTAAGATGTAAAATAATTTCAGGTTAATACTGAACTACAGTGTATAACAAAATTAAGAGCCAGTTTTTCAGTCAGAATTTTACAATGAAGAAAGCTGTCTCCTGGGATGTGGCGCCGTGTAGAAATTGTGTTAACCGACGTTTCAGAGGAACGTATCGCCTCCATCTTCAGATTAGAAGATGAAGAAATCTGCAAACGAACCAGCTAGAGCAGGTGCAACAGACTGAGTCCAGTGGAGTAAACACAGCTCTATAAGAGAAGGAGAAAACTGAGTGTGGCTACGTAGGGAATAGTGGAGAGGGGGAAGGGGGTAGGGTCTGGTGGAATGGCCAGCAGGTAGCGGGCCAGAGCTGGTATAGAGTATGTATTAAGGGAAGAGAAGGGAAGGTTAAATGGAGGGCATTAACTCTGTAGCTGGGGGACTGGGATGGACCTGAGTGGCCTATAGGGTCTGCCGTATTTCAGAGTTTTCTTGAGGGAACAGATGAGAGGCTTCATGACTTGCTGAAACAGAACCCCACCCCTCTGTTCATATTGTCGGGATGGAGTTCAATCTCATTGGCCTCTCCAATGATGCGATCCAAGAAAGGGTCTTGGTAGCAAGGATGGAAGTATTCTAAAGCTGAATGCGGTGTCCCAAATCGATGCTGTGTTCAGCCACGGCTGACTTGTCTGGATGTTTGAGACGGATGTGCCGCTGATGCTCCTTCAACCTTGTGTCCACAGAACGGCCTGTCTGCCCAATATAGACCTTTCCGCACTCGTACGGGATACTGTATAAACCCAGTGTCCTTAGTCCCAGGCTTTCTTTGACAGGCCAGAGGAAACTAGATAATTTTTTTGGAGGCAGGCCCACTGATTTGATGTTGTGCCAGGACAGCACTCTGCTAATATGGTTGAATATAGTCCCGACATAGGGCAGGAAGGCGACTGAGTCCAGTTTATCTTTGGGCCGACTGATGTTCGACCCTCAAGAAACCTCTGAAATACGGCAGACCCTATAGGCCACTCAGGTCCATTGCAGCCCCCCAGCTACAGGGTTAATGCCCTCCATTTAACCTTCCCTTCTCTCCCCCTAACAGATACTCTATACCAGCTCTGGCCCACTATCTGCTGGCCATTCCACCAGACTCTTCCCCCCTCCCCCTCTCTACTATTCCCTATGTAGCCACACTCAGTTTTCTCCTTCTCTTATACAGTTGTGTTTACTTGACTGGACTCAGTCTGTTGCACCTGCTCTAGCTGGATTACTCGCGGATTTCTTTTTGTCTTCTACCCTGAAGATGGAGGCGATACATTCCTCCAAAATGTCGGTTAACACAATTTCTATACAGTGCCACATTCCAGAAGATGGCTTTCTTCATAGTCACTGCCGTGAAAACCTCAAATCTTACAGAATTTTACAATGTTTCTTAAAGTTAGTCTTACATTCTGTATCCTGGTACAGATTTGTGATTTTACACTAGATCTCTTTCTGTGTTGTCAGAACCAGATAAGCATTCCACTGAATACAAGTTTCTGTTTTAGATGGGTTCGATCAGTGTAGTGACTAGGCTGTGGTCTGGCTGACTGTGAAATCAGGATCTGATTCCGGACAGGGACACATTTTTCTCCTCGCTGCAATATTGAGACTGTTTTGGTGGTCCATTTAGCCTCTTCTCCAAGGACACTAGGGGCTGTTTCAATGGGGTTAATGGGAGTAAATGAGAGTGATGCTGACCACATACCTCCATCTTGTGCTGAGGTTCTGTGAAGCTGTTCTTCCCTGTATTTGTTCATGCCTTAGTGCTTAATTAAGCACTTGAACAACTCTGTCTTTATCTTCACTGTATTTGCATATTTATATAACAGATTGGTGTGCATGGCAGTATAGTTGGCTGAGGCACTGTGCTACAAGCTGGAAGGTCCTGGGTTTGGTTCCCAGTGTGGTCATTGAATTCTTCAATTGACCTGATCCTTCCAACCTCACTATGGCCCTGGGGTTGACTCAGCCTCTAACAGAAGTAAGAACCAGGAATCGTCCTGAGAGTAAAGGGTGTCTGACACACAAGGCTGACAGTCTTACCACCATTTGTGAGCTAACTGTTAGAAAATGTGGGAGCCTTGATGTCCCACAACCCTGTGGTCTTGATGGCCTGTTACATGGATAGCATTACCTTTTTTAGATAACAGATTTGTTATGAAGCCAATGTCAAAGCCTTTTTCTTGAAATTATGTTAAAGTATCTGTTTTCTTTTACTAGTCTTGTTACTCCCAGATTCAAATGCAGATTAAGGAAAAGGAGATTTATATTTGACACTGATAGGTGGCTATCAGTTATTTAATGTTGTATGAAAACTTGTTTTATGATAATATATTTTCCTGAAGAATACAATATGGAGTTCAACTGTAGTGAATCTCTGCTTCTAAAAGAATGTATTGGAACCTAGTCCACTCCACAAAAATCAAGTTTTGAACTAATTCTGGTTAACCTTTAATGTCCGAAGTGCCCCGATTGGGCCAGTGATGAGTATGGTTTTCGTGGTCAAAGTACCCCGTTTTGGGCAGTCTGGCATTTAAACTCCGCTAGTGGAAGTGCGCGCACACTGCTAGTAGAAGCGCATGTACAGTCCTAAATATTTATTTATAAATGTAGTAATTACCAGACAGATTTGAGTAAAACCATAATAGAGGAATTAAAATGATACCTAAGTGAACAACAACAAAAAGCATATACGTATGCGTTATGCCCAAACTCATCCACGAGCCAGTACTTTTATTGCAGATTCTGCAGATTAATGTGTTAAAAATATACAATAAAATTCGATGTACATACCTTTTTTGTTGTTATCTGCTTGATGCATATATAGGCTGAAATGAAACTACAGCATTCGATTTCACCATGAACGCACAGAAAACAGATCGCACTCTGTATCTCAGCCATGATGCAACTGTCTGTTCATGATTATGGAAAGGGCAAATAATCTCTTTCAGCTATAATGGAAGGTCTTAGCACTGAAGAAGGGACCCCTCTAGCTTTTTCTTGAATAGCCATTCTTTCATTCTTCTGTCCTTTAGTCAAAAGATTCGAAAATCCGAAGAGTGTAAGCAGTGCCAGCTGAAGACCAAATGATTTTATTGCTTCCATCTGTTTTATGACACCAGGGATGCTAAAATTTGTCAAGTGTTACAGAGATGAATTTATAATGCAGAACAACTCTGTGAAGAACTGGGAAACCATTTTTGCAGTATGCATCAAAATTAAAAGAAAAAAAAAATAGCGTATAACTATTTGTATAAACATTTTCAAATCTTCCGTTATAATATGCAACACTATGTTCTTTGCTGATACAAACAAAGTTAATTCCATCCATTTATCATAAAAATTGAGTTAGATACAGCATTTTTAAACACAGTGCTTAAAATTGTTTAAGCGCCCTAACAGGAACGGACATTTAAATGCAGAGTAGCAGTGGGCATTTAAATAAACTCTGGCCAGCTCAAGCTTACCACCCTTTCAGATGTCCGGTGTTTAAAGGTTAATGTGAAACAAAAGGAGATTCTAAATGGTTCTGATGATGGTGTATAACACTCAGAATTACTGGGTTTTTTTACTTTTTCTATCGTGCAGTATTCTAAAAACTAGAGAACACAACGGTTTGTGAACTGGATCTGTTTCTCATCAGGTGAGAGGGGGAGATGCCTATGCTGTTGGGTCCCTCAGAAGGAGCTAGTCTCAATCACTGGACAACACATGTCAGTGTCAGAGTCAGAGTTACTTTACGACTGGTGGTTTACTGCCAATCGGTTTATCTTGGTGCCAAGCCCCTTTAGAATCATGACAATGTACCTTTGTGGTCATAGTCATTATGTAACATCCTCTCTGATGAGAGATTGGGTTTGTCTCTTATGAATAAGCTTTCTGTTTGTCAAGTGTACATATTGCACATAGAGCATACTATTGGAAATTCTTCCCTGTGCTCTATATATATGTCCTTTGGCAGTCCAGGCTTTGTGAAGCAGATCATGTCTATCTATCTTATCTTATGCTACAGCAGCAGCTTTTCTTTTTTTTGCTAGTGGGGTGGGATTAAGTCCCTTGTACAGCGGCCACTTTTGGCCTATTGTACCAGCCCCAGATGATAGGTGAGGGTGATTGTGGAGCAATTGGTGGAATGAAGTTTGGCAGAGGAAACCAAAGTACTTGGAGAAAACCTGCCCTAGCGCCACTTTGTTCGCCAAAATTCCCACTTGGCCAGACCAGGGATCGAACCTGGACTGCCGCGGTGGGAAGCCAGCGACTAACTGCTTCAGCTATGGCATGGCCACAACAGCAGCTTAGTCAATTGAATGTTCCTAAGCTTGACTGCCACCAAGTTTAAGCCTCTAATATTGTCTGGCTGGCTTTGCTGTTTCCTATGAGGTGAACATGTTCATGCTCATGCTTCTGCTTGTTGCCTGCACAGTTTTGATATGTAGTGACAACCTGTATCACTACAAGTACAGCTATCTAAATACCTAAGACCAGGCTATATTGAAGGGACATAACAGGAAAATATGCAATAAAAATTGTGGTAAAACATTCACAGACCTGAAACTGTGATGGAAATGGAGGTGAAAATTTTGTGCAGCAGATGCAGCCAACAAATCAAGCCCTTGATAACCAGTGCGTAGGATTAATTGGAGAATTTGTGAAACCATTTTGTGTCTACCACCAGCGCCATCTGTGTTCAAACATATAAGGAACTGTTATAACATTAAGACAATCTTCAGAACTAAACACACCCTTAGGAGTTCATTCATGAAAACCAGGATGGAAAGAGATTCACAGTACAGCACAGTGTGTCTGTAGCATTCCCTGTGAATGTGAATTGGTGAAACAGGCAGATCTCTAGCCATGTGGCTCCATGAACATAGGCACACTCTCAAACAGGGTCTTCTAGAAAAATCAAAATTAGCCCAAGATGCCTATGAAGAGGGTCATTGAGTAGGCTGGGATGAAGCTAGGATTTTGGAAATTGAAAGTAACAGCAGGTATATGAAATATAAGGAATTGACCCATATGCCATACTTAACGAATCCTATCAGCCAACCCAGTTTGGACATTTCTCCCTTCAGGATCCACCCTATCAGCAATGAGGTTACCAAGGCACAGAGATCAGTATGGTATGAGAGATTCTTCATGGGTTTCTATAAGGTTTTAGTCCCAAGTGGTTGGATGGTGCTAGCAGTAAACACAAAATGATTTCCACAAATTCTTCATTTAATCCTATGCATTAGTTTCCATGGACTTCGTTAGCTAGGTTTGTTGCATAAAATTTTCACCTCCATTTCTATCTTAGTTTCAGATCTGTGTATGCTTTAATTGCATATTTTCCTGTTATCTCCCTTTGACATAGCCTGGTCTCCAGTCTCAGCTGTAGTTATACTGACATGGGTTGTCCAGTGACATAGGTTAGCTCTTTCGAAGGGACCCAGCAGAGTATGTGTCTCCCTCCTCACCTGACGATGGAAACAGGTCCAGTTTCAAAATTGTTATGGTCTCTAAGTTTTAGAATACCAGATGATGACAAAGTCCAAAAACCCAGTAATTCTGAGTGAAGTAAAAGGGCATTGTTGTACTTCTGGTCTCAGTCCCCATGTTAAGACTTCCAAGCTGCTTGTATAGAATGTTGTTTTCCTGACAGGGCGTGTCATCTCAAATCAGACATTTCTTCTGTTTTTCAGTGGGCTAGTGACCTGGCATGTCAGCTTCTGGTCATCCACAATGAGGAGGTGGCAAGACGCAGGGACTTCCAGAGTCAGTTTGATGGTCACTTTCTGAACAATCTTTTCCGAGGCATGGAGGACTTTCCCCCTCCATTTGCCACACAAGCACCTTTACCTTTTGACTTAAATCTGCCCAGGGTAGGACTCAGATGCTTATGTTGTTAACCACTTTCCTTAATGTTGTAGGTCTTCCTTATTCTGATATGTTCGATTTTAAATTGCAGCTTGCAATAGAAGATGTGGACAGGCTTCATGCACAATTTCCAGAACTGAGCTTCTCAGTTTCTGGCCCCGATCTGGAGACCATCACCCAATTCTTCCTAGTGAAGTCTGTGACAGGGACCTTGAAGACAGAGGACAGGGAGGAAACTGCAGCCCTAGAAGACAGACTAGTGAGTTCAGACTTCATATTAACAAAGCTACATTCACATTTGAGGCTGGAAATAAGTTTACAATATTATATTTCAGCATCCTGTTACACTCACACAATATATATGGACAAATACCGTCTTAAGTGCAACAATTTTATTGTAGTTGTAATGGAAGTTGTAACAACGGGAAAAAAGGGTAAACATTTGAATACATTAGAGAAATACAATATATATAAAATAAGTAAGAAAGGCCTACAAATGAATGACACACACATAGAAACATACAATCCCATATTTCAAACTATATACGAAATCTATACAGACTAACGGTACCTCCCTCCCCCACTACCCATTCCCCCTCCAACACCCACCAACATGAAACACAGCACACAATACACCAGACAGCACACGTATTAAAGATAAGCAGCGACACACACAGAGAGCGCCTACACTGAGTAAGTACAAATAACAGTATAAACATATAAGAATAACATAACAAGACATAACATAAGATAGTAACACAAATATTTGTATATTACAGACAACACATGAACAGCGATAAAAACAAGAAGTGGCCGCTGCAGCACCGTAGATATAGGGCATGTACCCTGAAAAATTTTAATTTGAAAAAGAAAGAGAACAAAGATCTTATAGACATTTTAACTTGAATTAAGGTTTAAAAAGTGCTAATTTAAAAATCAAATCGACGCGTGTAGATTAACAAAGATTTTATACAATTAGAAAGACTGGGATTTTTACATTTTTAACAAGCAGTGTAACAGTTACGTGAGTGATACACACCTGATGATGGCCATTTAGGGCCGAAACATGTAGTGTGGAGGAGGAAAAAGAAGTAAAAACTACAATAAAATTGTTGCACTTAAGACGGTATTTGTCCATATATAATGGAAATAAGTGTCCTTTATGTCTATTTTATACCTGCACTTAACATGGCATGGTTCCGATCATGCTGTGTTGTGATCTCATGGACTTCATTACTTCTTCATAACTCTATGGACACCTTGGCAGCCATGAAGGTCTTTTAACACTTGAAATATTAAGTCATTTCAAAGTCTCCAAAGAACTGAATTATTGCTTAACTGTTCAAAAATCTTATAGTATCCTGCTTAACTGTTCGAAAATCTTATAGTAACCTTCCAAAATATACCTCATGATCGATTATTTAAATGTATTCAAATGATAAGCGACTTTTTATGGAAATAAATGAGAGTAGTTTTTATCACCACCATTTCATCTTTAAAATCTTTATCATTTTGAGTGAGCACTGTAAATAATCTGTATGTTGTGTATTACTCATGTCACCCTCATCTGTCATCTTGCTGGACCTGATAGTGGCCAGCTTATGCTGCTACCTTTATTCATGTCACATTGTGCAACTAACTGGCTTGTCCTGTGTTACAGGTGAGAGTAGTGACAGATGCAGGTCTGGCTAGCCACCTGGATCCAACACTGCTGCAGCCAGCTGATGGGGACACTACTGCTCTTGCTCAGAGTCCCAGTCCCATTTCTCTGCAAGGCAGTGCTCCTCCCAGGGATCAGGACAGGTCTGTCTTAACAGTTTATGTTTTTATTGTAAGTCTATATACAAAGCTCATCATTCAAGAGAAGTTTCAGCTTAACCTCTAATGTACGGACTTTTAAATTGCCAGCAGCACTGTATGGCCGGAATTTAAATCACCCTAATTAATTATCATTGCAAACTTTCAGAAAAAAAAATGCATATTTTCCATTCTATGCAACATAGAAATATGAACTAAAAAGAACCTGAAAGACAATAAAATTTTCTACATACACATAAAAGAGCAAGTTTTACAAACGAAAATTAACTGTGATTATTTTGTCATGAATTGCAAAATATAATCTTTATTATATATGTTATGAAATTCCAAAGGACTTACCCATTGATTTTTCTTCAACCTTGAATCATGGTGATATTGTAAATATAATCACACTATATACAATAATATTTTGTTCAGACTGTACCCGAGTTTGAACTGTGTCACTTCACAGTTTACGATAACTCACACACTGACGCGCGTGTGTCACTTCTCAAAGCAGTCCACCACACATAGCGCAGCGCCACACTTTTTACAGTAGTAGAGTGTGCTTCTGTGCTTCTTATTCTGAGAACAAATACAATGTCTTTGTTTTCCTTTGGTTGGACAGTGTTGTGAATGTTTCACCTCCAGTTGACGCAGTTGGGCCCCAGATGAACTTGGCCTCCCACGAGAAACACCACTGACTGTGATATTTGCCTCATGCGATTGAAGAATCAAATCCCGCACCAACATTTCGCGGAACTTTTTGTGTGTCATTTTTCCACCACATGACTTGTGTAATAGATATGCATTTAGAATAGTCATATCTAGAAGGTGGACAAACAGTTTCTCTGTCCAGTTCCATGTCCTCCTAGCAATGCCATAACTGTTTACCATCCTGTCAGATTTATCAACAAAGCCCATGTGTGCATTGTAGTCTTCAGTTACATGGGGTTTGACAGCATGGCCAGATTCATCTCGGAAGTTGCTTTCCAATGGAGGAGGGTACACATTCGTCATAACATACACATCACGCTTGTCTTTCCAACGAACAACACTTAGATGCCTCTTGACTCTTGTAACATCATCCCCCCTTTTTTTTTTTTCAATTTCATTGACTTCTGCCGAATTTCTTGTGGCATTCCACGCCTATCATTGCAAATGGTGCCACATTAATTTATTTTCCTGTCTAAAAGATCGTCAAATAAAGCAGGAGAACTGAAATAACTGTCCATGTAAATTTTGTGTCCCAAGCCT